GAAATATAGTATCGGAAAGCTAAGTTCGAACTAGTCTATTTTAGGTAATAGCATTACATTGAATAAAGTTGAACTTAGCGAGAGAGAGGTCTTCATGCTATTTAATTTTTGTAACCAGATCGCTAAAAGCTAACAAGATGGCGTCTTCCATGAAAATACATTCGAATATTTGTTATTAACTTGTAATGCAGACAAAGGTATTTTATTATAAAACCAGATAAAATTAAAGGCGCACTTTTCACCGATTTTGAAAGAATACCCCGCGTTAGCATCTATAGTTAATCAGCTAAGTTCGAAAATCCATCGTTTTCCCAGTAACTCTCGCTCTTGAAATTACAAAAATTAAATAGGAATCAGACCAGACTCTCGCTCGGACTAAGTTCGAACTCACAATCTTCCGATCACGGACTGAGCTACCATGATGGAACTAGAATTCAGGAAAAGTAGGACTATGGATCTTCATAAACAAACATTCCAAGGTAATTGTAGTGAAGGTACAGGTTTGCAAAACCTAGTTCCATCTAGCTCAGTCCGTGATCGGAAGTTATTGAGTTTGAACTCAGCTCGCGACTTACCCTAGTTTAAATCAAAGTACTGAAAGTACTCATGGGAGTTGAACATTGTAATCTGAAAGATCTCACAGGAAGTAGAGGAACATTTTCATGCTTTCAGATTCAAGTCAGCTAGAACTGATTTGTTAGAGATACAACACGAAACATTAAAAATAATTTCAATTGAATTTGAATAGCGAAGGTCGTGGGGCTGATTTTAAATTAGCTGCGGAACTGTAGCTCTCCGAAAAAAATATTTTGATAGACCGGAGAGCTACGTGCCGCCAATTGAAAAAACTGTATATATTTATTGCGCACAAAAAGTGCGCTGTTTATACGATTTTATTTTTCCATGTTTTTGAACTATCATATCAAAATATTACTACATGTAACATGTTCTAAAATATTCCTTCACTTTTTCCACAACAAAACATTCCTTATAATTGTTGTTAATAGCCCATCTGGCCTTGAAATTGAGATCATCTAAAATGTCGTCTATTTATGCTGCAGTTTTGGTTTGCAAGATAATTTGGTCTAACGCACTTCGTGCAAATGTCAAATATAAGAGAACTTCATAGAGGAGGAAGGAATTTTTACAAATCTGTCTTTTTCACGTTTGAGGTAAGAATTAGAAAGGTTTAATCCAGAAATAAGCTCAACTTTTCGTGCGCAATAAATGTACAGTTTTTACAATGGGTGGCACTATAGCTCTCCGGTCTGTCAAAATATTTTTTTCGGAGAGCTAACATTTCTGCAGCTACATTTAGATACAGGTCAATTAGTGCAGATTTGATAGAGATACAACACCAAGCATTAGAAATAAGTTCAATTTACTTAGCACCGTTTTTGAAAGTGTGTGTGGGAAGGGGGGGGGGGGGAGGCAGAGAAAAAACAATTCAACTTACCGGATAAAGATTTGACAACAATTTGACCAAACCAAACAAACGCCCCCAACACTTTTTTGAATGTGTACAAGATATTTGGTCCCAAACAAATAAATACTCTTTATATTCGATGTTACCATCACCAGACACTAGATTGTCATTTTTCTTCCTCTGATTAAAACAAGCATTTGCTATTCTCTTTTGGGTATGAATGGTTCTTTTCGGACACAATAATTAATTTTCATAGAATTCTGTGCTCATCTTTTTTATCAAATATATTCTATCTTTATAACTTAATCATTAAGTTTTTTATTCCATAATTTCATTTCAAGTAATTTTTGTATAGAAGTAAGTATGTCTGAATACTTTACATTTTGTTTGTTTTACGTTCGATATTTGCCACTCATATTAAAACACTGAAACTTGATGGAGCTAGCTTTTTGTAATGGAGCGTAGTGGAGTCAAGCCGAGGATTGCCAATTGAAAAATGACAGAAAACTGGGACTTTTTTTTCCATTCGGAAATCAAATTTATGTGTAATTTCTCAGAGAGAGATGAATAGAATATACTGAATAGTGACTGACAAAGTACTCTGAATATTCTAAATATTAAATTTTTGACCGGGCAGGGAAAGGGGGGTGAATACAAGCAAAATTTAAGCAATGCACTTTTCTCACTTGCGAAAAAGGAGGCCATGGTATTAATTTTGCATGCAGAGTGCATTCTGCATTGGCCGACACAGATTACGATGTCAAGCTGATAACCGTCTGTGGTAGTACACTGGCAGAATAAAGATAAAGCCGGAATGTAGTTACTGTGGAATTTATGAAATTTAGGTTAATTTAGAAAAATGAGATGGACTGTTTTTATTGCGGACGTTTCTGCGAGTTTATATCTATTAGACTGGTACGAGTTTATATTGAATATCACAGGGAAGTAAATTGGTTGACACAGAAGCACCACGGCGGCCGCTATATAATTTATTGTAAAATTACTGCGCTAGAAATCGCGTGACGACCAAGGGAGATTGAACCAAGTATATCTTTTTAAAAATATAGGTGAGCTAGCGCCGTAGAAATTTTTAAACACAGAAAGGAAGGTCCGTTATCAAGTGATTTATTTTGCTGAATTCTTTAATTTTTATCGAGGCTGGAGTGTGATAAAGTTATGTGAAGTGTATTTTATAGACACATAGGTAAAGAAACGGGTGAGAGAGAGAGAGAGAGAGAGAGAGAGAGAGAGAGAGAGAGAGAGAGAGTGTGTGTGTGTGTGTGTGTGTGAAGTTTTTGTGTTGAACTATTGGAGTTTTTACGCAACGGAACATTTATGACTTTTACTGGAGAGGGGAGACTCTATATAATATGGCGAAGATGCCGATTAAGGCATTGTATGATCTGGTTTAAGAATAGAATTTCGTGGCAATGTAGCAAAGAAAATACAGGGGAGTAAAAAAGAATATAGAAATGACTCAAAGTGCATGTTGTATAAAGAAATCCAGAGAGTTCCGAATGTGAAGTAGCTTGGTCATTTGGGTCATCTTTGTCAAGAACTGTTAGGTTTTAAAAAGCCATGCACATCAGAATTTTTTTTATGAATAATGGATTTATTCGTTATTTTTAGTGTAAATTCTTGTTTCTGGAATCGTAAGATTGGCTGAATTGACCAATCAGAAATAAGAGTCTATCTTTGGTTGTGCTTAGACGTAAAAAAAACCTCCCTTGTCTTTGTTTAGAACAATCAGATAAAGACTCGGGCTTTTCCGTCAAAAAAGGGGAAATTTTAATTGCAATTATGCGGTTATCTTTAAACTGTAAGCTACACAATAAATAAACATAGTTATTTAATGATACAACGAAATTGTTATCGTACGGTCTATCTATAGTAATTTTCACAGTTTGGTTTTCCCAGAATGCACGACCATGAAGCTGAGCATGCGTATTCAAGGAATTTGGACTAACGTAGTTGCTAGCGCTCGAGAGCGCTAGCAAATGGTTCAACTCCCAAAAATCAGGTAGCAACTGTTTCTTCGCCTATCACTCGGCACTTTGAAGTGAAAGTTTCGATTCCCTTGGATGAAACATAAAAAAAAAAACCGATAAAACCCCATTCCTAAATGGCTCTAAGTACGAAGTTAGGGTGCAAATTTAAAGTCCTTCCGAGGCGTGTAATGACGTCTCCATATTAGTTGATATTAGGCTGATAAAACCCCATTCCTAAATGGCTCTAAGTACGAAGTTAGGGTGCAGATTTAAAGTCCTTCCGAGGCGTGTAATGACGTCACTATATTAGTGAAAAATTCTCGAATGGGACGTAAAACAGCAATCAATAAAGCAAATCCTGGTCCCTCATGTCGCATGCAGTAGGTGGTCAAGGTTTTATAATCATATGTTTTACCAAACCCCTTTCTTTAATCCTCACTAAGATATTAAAGTAGTGAAGGAGAAACTTCAAGAGTAATGTGCAAGTGGCGTTAATCAGCTGCGGACTTTAAAAAACATACAATTTGGAACATTTGAAATTTAACCAAAATCAACAACATAAAAACTTAGGACTTTTCAACTTGATATACAACTATTTCACATGATGAATTAAAGCCCAGGCTTTTTGCATCATTGACAGCTGCTTTTTTAAAATAAAAATGGAACTTGTAAATTTACTCATTAGTCATTTGCATTTCTTTGTTAAAAACAATATGATTGTATACAAAAGTACTCTGAAGTTGATGTTAGAAAGATGCTCGAGTTTCTGATTGACAATATCTATATGGTTTTTGGAGACCAGGTCTACCAACAATATGTTGGAATTCCAATGGGTACGAATTGCGCCCCGTTATTAGCAGACCTATTTATGTACATGTATTTATACTAAGTAGAATTTGTTCAGAGCATTTGCTGTTGCCTTCAACTTCACATTTAGATATAACGACGACCTACTTATGCAACAATATATATACCATATATATATATATATCTCAGTAGATTCGATACGGAAAAGCATGTTCTACGTATGAACAATTTTCAAAAAAGGAGGTAAGTTATTGACAAACAAGATGATGAAACAAGAATATCAGCAGTCTAGTTTAAAGTTATCGTTTTGTAAGTTCTATGATCGATTCAATGACATTGTTAAATGCTGACTAATGTTTTTTATACTGATTTTTATGCAATTATTTACAAACTGAATTGTCCACGGATTTTTTCCAACCTGACAAGGAGCACACGACGGGTGTGACGGGTCGGCAGGGGATGTTCACTTCTCCATGGCACCTGATCGGAGTGATCCCACCTCTGATGTTTAGAGGTCCGTGTTTGTTTTGCTCCTCTTTTGGAATGTTTAATGGACTGTTGAGCTTGAATACTGTTCATTATCTCCACATTTTTATTATATATGTTATCACTTGAAACAGAATAACGTTCTAAAGTAACACACATGAAGTGAAACATGTCATTTTTTTGTGTCTTGTAGTCTTGAAATTACCACATATCGATAATAAAATTGACAATTTAAAAAAGACAGTGCTATGTCTCCATACTAAATCACAGAGGACTTTTTTCTAGCACCAGAGTGTGTTCTATTTTTTTTTTTTAAACCGGTGATATAACTTAAGAAGTGGCCTATAATTATGACAACGTAAGTATTGATTATCACTGTTTTGTTAATTTTTGATATATTTTTTTACATTGTGATAAGAAATATCAGATAAGGAGAAACTTTTAGGATTATGTATTTTATTTATTTTTTCCCAAGCTGTTACCATGTCAGACATCTGTGCTAAAAATTAACGAAGACCAGAGAATCCTTTTTTTCTAGAGAGTGTTAATGGTAGATTTTTCATATTTTATTTGAAAATATAGACATTTAATGTACAATGGAATTGATTTCTACAAGTGTAACGGGAGAGGAGAAAATGCAGCGGACCAGACCGGGATTCGAACCCGGGCCCCCTGAAAATCCGGTCAGGTGCTCTACCAACTGAGCTATCTGGCCACCGGCGATCGAACCCGGCTGACCGTCACACAAGAAATGGACCGTCGCAACTCAACTCGCAGTATGTGCAATGTTAAATACTGAATAGTGACTGACAAAGTACTCAGAATATTCAAAATATTGAATTTCTGACCGTGGCAGGGAAAGGGGTGGGGGTGAATACACGCAAAACTAGAGCTAGAAATTTTCTCACGAAAATGAGGTTCTGGTATTACTTTTGCAGAGTGCATTCTGCATTGGCTGACACAGATTACGATGTCAAACTGATAACCTTTTGTGGTGGTAGTTATCAAACTATTCAGAAAAAATGGTAAGACTGGCAGGATAAAGATAAAGCCATAATGCAGTTACTGTGGAATTTGTCTTTTATCTGCAAAAACATTAACATTGCCCATAACTTTTGTTTGGTTCGAGCTACAAGTATAGCTTTAATATTTCAAATTTGTATTCCTTGTGGTAAGGAATTTTTTGGTACCAACATATTTGAACTTGGAGTTAAAATAAAAATAAATTACAAAACTGAAACTTGGTCATACTTTTTTAAAAAGTGAGTGCTGAGCTCTCTTACTTCACATAAGTATTCACTGTACCTTGACATTTCCTTGTGTGTAAGGATATTTGATCAATTGATCTTGACCATAGAGTTTAATGACCCTTTTTTTAAAAACCTTAACCTTGGCTAATACTTTTGAACAGTTAGCACTAGGGCGTTTGTATTTCACAGTCCTATGTATTCCTTGTGACAAAACATTTCTATAATTTTGACCTTGAAATTTGACCTATATTTGAAGTAAAAGTTTAAGAATCTTAGTTTTGCCAAAACTGTCATGCGATAGCAGTTTTTTACTCACACATCTTGATTGACTTAACTATATCAATCATTCACCATTAAACTAATAAAATCAAGATGTGTTTGTGAAACACTGATGTCCCCGTGTGGCATGCAGCTTCTGACGAGGGTTGAATTTTCTCAAATGCATGTCAAACTCCAAAGGTCAAGGTCAAAATTGTTGGTACCAAAAGGAATGTACCTGTGAAATATGAAAAACATAGCCTCATCCACTCAAAAATTATGAGCAAGGTTATAGATTTTAAATAGACAGACAGACGAGCGGACAGGGCAGAAAACTATATACCGTAACCCCCGAATCTTCGATTGCGGGGGGGGGGGGGATAAAAATTGTTTCTAGAATTTAATGTAAATGACAGTTAATTATTTGTTGTTTTAATGTTGCAATATAGTCATTGCGTAAGATTTTTTTTCAGACTCACTGATCTTCAAAACCATGAACTGGAAAAATATCCACCTGACGGAGACTTTTCTGAACATCTAACTCTGGTCCGGATTCCGAAAACCCAAGCCGAGTTGGAAGATCTTACGGAGAACCAAAAAGACGGGAATATCCAAGCACCCTCATGGTTTACCTATAAATCCGTGTTGGCGTATATATACTCTCTGTTTCCCATTGTAAGTGTACTGCGTCATTACAAAATCAAAGAATACCTCTTGAAAGATGCAGTCAGTGGTCTATCGACAGCGTGTTTGCATTTTCCACAAGGAATGGCTTTCGGTATATTATCATCTCTAGCCCCAAAGTATGGACTTTATACGTCATTCTTTCCGGTTGTTCTTTATGTAATATTCGGAACCTGTCCGTTTGTGTCTTTCGGAACAAACGCCGTCATCTCGTTATTCACTGCAAATCTCATACAAGATCAGGTGACTACACCGGAATCGAGTGGAGGTACTAACAGTTCTAACAACACCGATGGACAAATAGATGAGGAGGAGTTCGTGGAAATGAAGGCGGCCATTGCTGCTGGTTCCTCGTTTATAGTGGGGGTGCTTCTTCTTGTTTTGGGATTACTAAGACTTGGATTCATTGCATCATACATGTCATCTCCTTTTGTTGGAGCCTTTACAACCACTGCTGCTATCCACATCATGAGCAGCCAGGTTCCGAAGAGCCTCGGAGTTCGAATACCTTCTGTTTCAGGTCCCGGTAAGATTGTGATAATGTACATCGAAATCTTCAAGAACATCACGTCGGCAAATGTTGGATCCATTGTAACATCCATTGTATGCATAATTATTTTGATATTTGTGAAAGATTTCATCAATGAAAAGTTCAAAACGAAAATGTTTATGCCCGTTCCAATAGACCTTATTCTTGTCATTTTGGGCAGTGTCGTGTCCTATTTTGGCGAATTACATTCTCAGTTCAGTATTCCAGTGGTCGGCAATATTCCACCGGGTGTGCCAGCCCCCACCCTTCCAGACCTGAGAAGTGGCATAATAGGAAACTCTGTCGTTATTGCTATCATCATATTTGTTCTGACCATATCAATGACCAAAGTCTGTGAATCCAAGAACGCCATCAACGCTGATCAGGAGCTGGTGGCGTATGGAATGTCGAACTTTGGCAGTTCCTTCTTTCGTTGTTTTCCCTCATGCGTGGCGCCACCGCGTACCATCTTACTAAAATCTATGGACGCGAAAACTACCATGAATGGCATTTTTTCTGCCCTGGTGATTTTGCTTATTTTGCTATTTCTGGGAGAATATTTCCAGTATTTACCGTTAGCTGTGCTGTCTATAATGGTCATCATGGCGGTCAAGAACCTCCTCCTTCAGTTTCGCGATTTACCCCGGTTATGGAGGATCAACAAATATGACTTTACTGTTTGGACCGCCACCTTAGCTACAGGGGTGCTTATTGACTTTCCCTATGCTTTGTATTGCGGTGTGGGACTGAGTGTTCTTCTGGTAGTATTTCAAAGTCAGAGAGGTAAAAAAGGACTAATTGGAAAACTGCAAAATGAAGACTTGTACGTTGGAGAAACAAACTTCACAGTTTTACCGCGTGGTGTAAAGGTCTTTAAGATGGAATCGTCACTTTACTTTGCAACATCTGAATCCTTTCGTGAAAGTTTGTACCGTGTAGCCTGGGACCCTAGAACGCTTAAACCTCACGATTCAAACAACGAAGTCAGCCTCTCCGTGGAATCCATTCCTACCAAGGAGAACGATAAAACGAAAGTAGAGAAGACATGCAGCGAGGAGAGGCTGGTTATCATTGACTGCTCTTCCTTTAACTACGTAGACGTCAATGGGATATCCGCCCTCTCTCTCGTTGTCAGGGAGTACCGCTATGTCGGGATAAAGGTGCTCTTGACTAGATGTACAGAGAGTTTTCTGTCCGTTATGAGGAGGTCAGAGTTGATAGAGACGGTGGGAGAAGAAAACGTTTTTCCGGATATCGTGGATGCAGTAGCACTCAATATTTCAGATGATTCTACTCGTCTTTAGAGCATCGGCAAATTTTAAATGAAAATCAAACAATTTTAATTATTTCCATATGACACACATATACCCTGGTAATTCATACAATGTATAATTTAGAATTTATTTTTTTATTGAAGTATTAAGTTAGTGATATGTATACATGTACATGTATCAAAAATCAAATTGATTAATACCACCTACTCCAATTTTTTGATTTAAAGATGCTTTCAATTAATTTGTTACTTTTTCAACCTTTCCCCAGGGAAAACCTTACATTAGATAATCATATTATTGATTTTATAGAAAAAGATTTATAAAGTAAAAATGAACTCAACTTAAAATTTGTGCAAAATCTTATACGTGAAAAGAAGAAAACACTTGCTGTGGCCTTCAGCTCGACATTTAGATATATCGACGACGTATTGTCAATTAATGGTAATTTCCATTCCTACGTCGATATGATATATCCTGGAGAGCTTGAGATAAAAGATACCACAGAGTCTGACACATCTGTTTCATACATGGATATTTTACTTGAAAGGGACGTTAATGGTAATCTAACAACCAAGCTATATGATAAACGTGATGAGCTTTAACTTTTCTATCGTCAATTTCCATTACTTATGCAGCAATATACCTTCATCACCTGCATACGGAGTTTATATATCTCAGTTGATTCGATACGCAAGAGCATGTATAAGTACGAACAATTTCTAAAACGAGGTAGATTATCGACAAGCAAGTTTATGAAACAAGAATATCAGCAGTCTCGTTTAAAGTCATCATTTCGTAAGTTCTATGGTCGATACAACGACCTTGACAGCAAATACAATTTATCATTAAGTCATATGCTGACTGACGTTTTTCATACTAATTGTTAGTCCATTATTTGTACATTGAATTGACGAATTTTTTCCGTTATTTCCCGATCATGACAAGGAGCACAAGGCTGGTGTGACCGGTCAGCAGGTGATGCTCACTCCTCCATGGCACCTGATCCCACCTCTGATGTTTCGGAGGTCCTGTGTTTGCTCTGCTCCTAATTTGTATTGTTTTATGGACTTTAATATTGAATACTGTTCGTTATCTCTCAACTAGAATAGAAATCAAATAGGGACCAGCCCTTCAAGTACTTAATGGGGCCGTTTTGCAACAATTGAATGGTTGTATATTGTTTAGAAAACGATTCTGAACATCTTTTAGCAATACTGCTTATCAAAATGTGTTTCTCTTTGGAGGTATAAAGAAAAAAAGATTAAGCATTTTGACCCCTTACGGCCCCAAATTACGCAACATATGATCATAATTTTACAAGATATTGTTGCAGATTGTCAAGTCAAACATTTTTGCTTCAGCAATGTATTGTAAAAAATTGTTCATTAAAGAGGGATGGATAAACGACTTTTGGCCCTTCTGAGACCCTTAATTGAGGGGTCAGCCCCACTTTTTTTATATTACATAAAAGCTCTACATTCTGCACATCTTCGCTTCAGTATTTTCTAACAAATTATGAACAGGTCAGAAGATATGAAACAAAAGGTGTCAAATTTTGTGAGATGTTTCTGAGATGTTTTTCGAGTCCTACCGAGCTCCGGCGCCTTTTGCGCTAGAAAGATTTGGATCAGAACATCCTTAATACCTCGAGATAGAAAGTGACGCCATCATCGAAAAAAAATTATTTTCCGAATAAATAGCAAAAGGGCTTGCCATAAATATGCTTACTTTCGTTTTCCTGAATCTTAAACTTTTAGCAGTTGATCAACGAAGCTGCCATCATTATTGTTATTTCAAACAAGGGATTTATAGCATTTTTGTCTACACGGTACTATTATTCTGGGTATTACATACTCAGTCTTTTTTCTTATAACTCATAATATGGCAAGTCCTTTTGCTATTTATTCGGAAAATAAAATTCATCTTCAAATTACAGAGATATCTCTCATTTAAGAGAGATATCTCTTAGAAAATAGATATATCTCCCAACTTAAAGAAATATCTCTCATTTTTAAGAGTTATCTCTATGAGAAAGAACTATCTCTTAAACTTAAAGAGATATTTCTAATACTCAGAAACATATCTCTTTCACTCAGTGAGATATCTCTTTTTGTAAGAGATATCTCTTCCACTTAAACAGATATCTCTTTCTACTTGAGAGATATCTTTTTCGTGAAAAGAGATATCTCTCAAGGTTAAAGAGATATTTCTTTCACTCAGAGAGATATCTCTTTTACTTTGGGAAATATTTTTCAAAGACAAAGAGATATCTCTCAAAGTAAAAGAGATATCTCTCTTAGTTTATCTTAAGAGATATCTCTCAAAGTAAAAGAGATATCTTTCAAAAGTGTCTAAAAGAGATATCGCTCAAGCAAAAAGTGACATCTTTTTATTGCAAAGAGATATCTCTCTTCATTATTTTTATTTAAATTGCGTTTTTAACGACTTCTCCTTTTACCGGAAGTAAGCTTTTTATTCACGGAAGTACATTAAAGTATAGTATATTTCGACATATTCCTGATATTCTACATTATAGCTTGACTAAACTTGAGACGTAATTCAGTGTTGTTTTGACTTCATTTTTGTAATTCACGTGACCCCGTCTATTAGTTTACTGTCAGAGCCCTCAAAAAGGAAGCCGTGGTGATAACACATGAATTAAATCTACGCTTTATGAAAGAGTGCAGAAATTATTTTGATCAAAAAATAAACATTCTGTATCAAACAGAAGAAAGTGATATAAACTTTTTTAAATCAAATTCATGAAGCATTTTGTAAACGTATAACTCAATATTAATTGTAAAACGCACTAGTAAACAAAGTACTCTCCTGCGTAGTATTACGACTGCGTACGCATCATCCATTGTTTACTTCCGGAAAAATATTAATTCAGACCAGGTGAAATTTTGACAGTTCAAAAAGGTTTCTAGACTTATCAATTATTGAAATTTCTACTTCAAATTAAATAAAAACCGCAAATTTATATTCTTAAAGAGATATATTATTCACAGTTTTGTTTTTAGTCTGTTAATTTAAAAAAATTTATCAAAACTCGTTAAAAAATCACATTTGTAAAATCTAGAGAAATTGTTTGACGGTTGACCCCGTCTTTCAGTACTGAGTACTTTGATTCTAATTTGATTCCCGATCCCGCGGTTGGTTTATTCCATAAATGGACTAGTCCAATAATAATAAACAACGCAGACCAGTCATTGTCTCAAGATGCATGATCTATTATGCGTCTCTTTCAGATGCATACAATAAATAAGAAACAAGTGCAAATCTGGGATTTTTATTTCCACAAAGGCCTAAGTATTGAATTTACTTATTTCGTTCTCTTTTAAAATGTTGATAATGCGGCATGATTTGGTAACAGATTTTACAATGATGCTCGAAATCAAAATCGAAGGGCAGATCACTCCACTTGCAGACCCCCCCCCCCCCCCCCCCCCCGTATGCAGTGTAGAGATGATTCTTCTAAAAGTTAAATAAAATCAAGATTTCATTTACACAAGGTTCTCAAAATATAAAGAAGGAAACATTTTAAACCCACAGTATTTCTCAAAAGGTTTATCACTCCTCATGCAGATATTGAGATTAAAGAGGCTGGGGGGTGGGCCATTTTTAGACTATTTCAATCTCCTTTAAAAGGAGAGCTCCATATAAAGATATACAAAAATGATCAAATTTTAAAACTAAAATGTATGAATTTTTTCTTTGTCAAATGATAGTTGACAGCTAAAGATACCGTATCTAAAAAGTTAAGTTAAATCTGGTGGCTAATTTGGGATTAATTTGAGACCCACCAGCCTCCTTAAGTCAGGCAAGCTTTTTAAAAAGCTGTTACTTGTAATATAATAAAAGGAAATGACCTTGTCACTAAAAAGATAGTCTCGGTCAACCAGAGTGCTGTTCCGTAAACTCCGACCAGCAGAGAGTAAAGGGGGTTTGTAACCGTCAGAGGGCGCTATCTTGTTTTCATTTTGACGATCCTTTTTGAAAACAAATGTTATATGTTTATTCTTCTGGATTGTGACTTTATATTAATAAATTGTTATCTTTAATTTGGGACACCAAACGCGAAATCACAATAACAACAGAAGGAATGTGTATTACGCAGGTAGGGCTACACTACTTTCACTTTTGCTGTCGATAGCATATTTGCAAGACATTATTAAACACACTTACATATAACTGGTGGGCATTACTGTTAACAATTCCTCTCTAACAGCTTTAACTTTTAGACATATATAACTTTTACATCTTTAACTTATTTTTCTGCCGATTTATCATGTATTTGTTTAAATAATGTAGGTGTGTTCTTTTCAGCCAATCAAAAACTTTACCAGAATTTCGGTAAGCCTAGTTTTGGCGTTAAAAACGATATCACCTATCTTTACCAGATACCTCTGGCTGGTCGGAGATTTACGGAGACCTTTCTTTGAACGAGACTACTAAAAAGAAAGTATGCTTTCAAAAGTCAAAATGAATTTTCCAGCTTTGAATCGGTTAAAAATCCGAAGGGTGAATGATTTCTACAAAATGTGCAAACGCAGAAAGAATACATTCGAGCAAGAACTTGATTCTTCCAACTACGGATATTTGGAGGAAAGGTTGCAACAAGAGTTGCCTTATTCTCTCAAGGTAGGTAGCCTGGTACGAGTGTGGGGGTTCGGATTACTTAAATTTGGCAATTCTAGATGATCTGTTTAGATTTCTCTGTTGAAAATATAAAAATATTTACTGTGCAGTGTTTGGACCACTGGTTTTTCTCGATTAAGACATTTATTCAGATTGTCCACTGCAAAAATGAACCCATGATAGATTCTTAAATGATATATATCAATTGTGTTATTAAGGTCTTCCGCTCAGGCGGAAGACCTTCTACTGATTCTGATGGTTAAGATTATTAAGGTCTTGCTCAGGCGGAAGACCTTCTACTGATTCTGATGGTTAAGATTATTCCCTATTATTCTTTTTTTTTTTTTCCTAGACGCCAACTTTGAGACCTCGTAACTCGCTCATTTCTGAACGGATTTTGCTCAAATTTTCAGAGTTTTTGGACGTTACAAAACTCAATTAAAATGTTTTCATACATTTCAAAAATTCCCTTCCGCTTTTGAGTTATTTCCCTTTAAGTGAAAATTTGGTACTGTTTGTTTCCAGACAAAGGCTCAGAAATGACAAAAGCTGGAGCATAATGTCTACTGCATTTAAATACTAGAAGAATTGAAGTTGTGCCTATCGGTTTTTCTTTTTCGATTTCTGCGCTCCAAACGGTGCTAGATAGGGGTCAAAAATGAGAATGCCTAAAAGCGCCAAATTTTACATATATTTCCTTGTGTATCTTTTAAACTAAAAATAATTTGTTAAGACATATTTCACAAATATTGTGCATAATTTTAAGATCTATCATTTGACATCATTAAAAAGGGGCTGGCCCCTCAAATTAGGGGTCAAGGGAGCATGAAAGTTTTTGCATTATAACTCAAAAACGGTAAATATTTCGATATGGTTATCGATTTGAAATGGGTCTTTAACATCTTATTGATCTCATGAAAACGTTATTTTGTTCGAATCTTGTGTTATTGAATGAGCAGCAAACTTTATGTACAGGTAACTGATTAATTTTATACAGCAAGTGAAGAATTCTTTATGCGTACGCGTTTAACACGTATAACTGAAATAAACTGGATAAGAATAATATACTTAACTAAACTGAATGTTAAACTTTGTTGAAATAAAGTTTTTAACGTATTCTCTAGCTGGATGTCATACAGATTATTCAGAGACAACTTTCTCCTTGTATTTAGTTTGAATTACAAGACGGGAGATAGGAAAAATACTTATCATCTCTCATTCGATTGATACTCAATGTTGCATTATTTATTAAAAAAAAAATCAAGCTTAAAATAATTCACTGTCATTTTATTCATGCATCGTGAATTTTCGTCGGACCTTGACTGCTTTGTTTACAGTTGTGCAACCTGTTTATCGATCGCGCATGCATTGACCTATATACATTCCGGAGGTCAACATTACCGCTCTTTGATTTTTACGCGAGTCCCAGAGTTATCTAAAACGATGCTAGTCATCGATTTACTCAGTTTAAAATCAAGAATTTGTTATTTGCGTAAATCGTAAGAATATTTCTAGACACAAATATAAAGGTTTCCTTGAACATGTACGAGTATTTAAAGATAAAATGTCTGATTCTATTCTTTGACGAATGAATAAGAGGCGCTGCGATTTTGCTCAGGTACAGATGATTTCTCTGGACGAGTCCATCGGTTACACTGAAAGGTGACGCAGGATGACCTATCGATAACTCTGCCAATTTTGATAGTGATTGTAATTGCACATGTACATAAATTAATGTTTGAATTCTACCCTTGTGAAGTCCATTATAGTTTCGTTATTTAAAGAATCGGGGATATCACAACTGCAACTTAATTGTTTTTAATTGAACGGATGATTCTATATTATTGGAAAGGTACACATTTTTTAGGCGCCGTCGTCTCCCTCTCAACTTTGAAGTAATTGCAATCGTTATATGTATACGGGCCTATATCAAGTTATTCTAATTGTTGCTTAATTTATTTCAGAAAAAATTGCGATGTTGTTTAAATTAGCAATTACAAATAAACATGACAAATGCACACAGTAAATTGTAAGTGGAAGTGACGTTTTCGATTCTCATGAAAATCGAAAATAAAATTAAGTAACTTTGAGTTTTGCATAATTTGCTACATAACTTATCATTGTATTTTTCCGAATAATATGCTCATAAATTTCTTTTATTTCCTCAAATAAAAAGCTAGAATATCACAATGACACGATTTTATGTGCATGTACATGATATTAACTAAACTACATGCTGTTTTACACAGAAGAGCACCCAACATGAGATTTAAGAATACGAGAAAAAAAAAGTATAATTAGAAATTCTTCTAACAAATGCAAAATTTCTTCCTGTAATTTCATACAAATATTCCAAGCCTTTCTTTCGTGTTTATTGGACTAAAAGAGATTAAATTATTAAATTTCCTCTCATTGCGATACGTAACCCCCTGAAATGATACAATGCTTTCCTTCAGAGTCGAGAATGGCAGGTCAGGGCTGGTGTTGAAATCCATGTTTACTCCATAACCTTTTAATATTAACCAAAAATCATACGCGATATTGTTTTTAATTCGCAGGTTGTCAAATAAATTTAAGAAAAGGTCGGCAGAGATGAGTATGCCTCACTAAACTTTTTTATTCATAAACTTTTTAATTTCTAGAGTGTACAATCGAGCATCGAAGTGTGTACATGTACTACATGTACTAGTTTTTTTTTTTTTGGGGGGGGGGGGGGGTACCAGTTTTCGCTGCATTTGATTTCCTGAATTTTGCATTGCATTTCCGACAATTAAACAAAGTTAATAGAATATAATTGGTGACAGTAACACAAGTGATTTATAAAACGAAAGTCAAGCAATAAAACGTTAAAGTTTGTATTTTGAAAAATAAATCAAGTCAAGTCACATAAAACAAAGACAGGTTGAAACGCTCACACATGGACATACATACAAACGTTTTGGTAACTCGGAATAGTCCAGAGTAAAACTATATTTTCTTGATTACGGAATGTCCAGTACATCTAATGTTCACGTCCGGGATAGTTCACGGCAGTTTTATCACACATACGCAATTATCATACAAGTCGAACGCTCTGAGGTTGAGGATTGACACTAATTCCTTAGATAAATACTGAGTATCAAATTCCTTTTTACTGTCTTAACTTAACTTGATAGGTAAATAATTTTAGCATATGTTAAAAATAAGCATTAGAAATAATTCTTTTCATAAAATTCAATTCTGTTACATTTCAAATGAATTTGCAAAATTAACTTTATGACAATTGTCATGCTACAGATCTGTAGCTCGCTAGCTGTTCTAAAAAAATTGAGATGGATCACCAGAGAATTACAGTGCCATCCATATTATCTCAAGTTCAGGCTCAGAAGGACTATTAAAAACGGTTGTAAGGAATGTTTAACTGTAGAAAAGTTTAAGGAATGTGTTAAGACACACGGTAAATAATATTTTTAGATTCAAGCAGTTGAAAAACACGGATATTGAATATAGCTACAGCGCAATTTTTTCTAATATTTTCTAGTTTTTTATTCTTCGTATTTCTCAATTTATCATGTTCAAATAACGTGTCTTTATTTTTATTAGGGCACATTAAACCTTATATGTCAACCAGTCTGACAGTGTCCATCTGTCACGAGAACTTTAAACTTGATAATAACTATTGAATGAGTTGAAATAGGACTTTCATATTTCACATGTGCATTATTTGTGACATCTGATTTTCAAATATACTGTGATTTTTAACTCCGTGACCTTGATCTTGACCTACTTAAAAAATAACATTGCTTTAAATTGACCATAACTATTGAAAGCTTTCATTTTATAAACATGTACATGTAATACCTGTGTCAACGCCTTTGAAAATTCATTATGATTTTTGACCCTTTGACCTCGAAGTTTGACCCACTTTTCAAAAACATTAACCATAGTCATACCTTTTGAGAGAAAAGAGGATTAGGGCTTTTATTTTACCACTGTGTATTACCTGTAACAACATTTTTTTAAATACCGATACGCTGATTTTGACAATGTGACCTTGAGGCTTGACCTACTTTTCACAATTTTAATCTTGATCATAACTTTTGAATGAGAAGAGAATGGGTTTTCGTATTACACAAAAATCAAATGTATGTAACCTGTGATAAAATCATTTCAAATACTAGCATATAATGAACTTTGACCTTGAAGTTTAACCGGCTTTAAACATTGCTTAAAATTGACCATGACTTTTGATAAAGAAAGTATAACGCTTTCATACCTAGATTTACACATGTATACACGTATTAGCTGTGACAAGGCCTATCGAAAAAAGTATAGCTTAAGAATTCGTCAATACGGTAGCACACAAATGGCTTTGCTTATCACCAGCGTGTGTCATGGTGTGACGTAAGGTCATTTTAACAAGGTCAAGGTCGCAAACATTCCTTTACTATCTTTTTTAATAGTAAAACATAAATAAGATGACATCTACCCTTTTAACATTAGAACGTGGAATGACCTTGACCCAAGGTCATTTCTCCTGTCCGCAGCTCCGACGGAAGACCTACTCGTTGCTTTGCAACGAGCTCGGCTCTAGTTCCTATTATTCTTTTTTTTTTCCTAGACGCCAACTTTGAGACCTCGTAACTCGCTCATTTCTTAACAGATTTCGCTCAAATTTTCAGAGTTTTTAAACGTTACAAAACTCAATTAGAATGTTTTCAAAAATTCTCTTCCGCTTTCGAGTTATTTCCCTTTAAATGAAAATTTGGTACTGTTCGTTTCCAGACAAAGGCTCAGAAACGACAAAAGCTGGAGCAGAAATTCTACTGAATTCAAATACTAGAAGAATAGAAGTTGTGCACATCGCTTTTTCTTTTTCGATTTCTGCCCTCAAAACGGTGCTAGGTAGGGGTCAAAAATGAGAATGCCTAAAAGCGCAAAAATTGACATATAATTCCATATGTATCTTTTAAACTAAAAATAATTTGTTAAGACATGTTGAACAAATATTGTGCATAATCTAA